ACAAATACAAGAAAAGGAGATAACATAAGCTTGGGGGCTCATAAAAAAATGGTAGGCAAGGAAGAACTCTCTGATAAACTATCATTTAAACATAGACCTACTAAAAGCAAAAGTGTGCTGTGTCCTGGTGGAAGGAAGAGTGGGTATAAAGTCCTTGAAGGCATGGTGGCCTCCACGGGAGGTTGGTGTTACCAGATTGATGAATGCAGAGAAATGCTGTGTCAGGGAATAGCAGGGATGGCCTGTGGTGCACCTTAAAGCTGAATTCAAGGACTTTGGTTTTTTATCCAAATAAGATGGGGAGTAGGTTTTTGTGAGTGGTATTACTTGAACTGAAGTACATGCTTAAATGATCACTTTATTGTGTTTCGAATGTACTTTCAAATAAGCAAAGAAGCTGCACAAATAAAAGGGAATTGTAGTGATAAAAACAAGAGATGATATGGCTTTAACAGGAATCAGGAACAGATTCTGGATGTTTATTGTATGATGTGATTTAATTTAACAAATCTGAGCTCAAATAACCAATGTGGTGGACTATGCTGGTACATAAGAATAAATGTACCCTCAAGGTACTTCCTAGCTGGTGGTGTAGATACATAAATACCTCGTTATGACACAAGAAAGAGAGAAGTGAAACTAATGAAAAATGTAAAATTATTTTGTGGAATCACTTGGACACTTTAAGAAGTATGTAACTACTAAGTTGGACCTTGAAGAGTGCAATGGATTTTCATGGGCTCAGAATAAAAGTTAGACAATTCCACTCCAAGAAAATAGTAGTAAAAACAATATCTTACATGGGGCCAATCCAATATTAGTCCATTTCCTTTTTCTTTAGACCTATCTAGAAGGGATAATCTAAGTCTTCCCCATGCATATACAATCACTCAGAGATTTAGGCAGCATTTATACACAGATCTCAGGGCTTCTTCTTTCAGTATCCCCCTCACTTTCTAGTGCCACTAAGTGATAAACAAGATTTTAATATGGCTCCTAAGATTTTGATCCTTAACCCTGAGGGTGAGCAGAGTCAGTGAAAATAATGTGATATTATTCCATCATTATGTCTCATCATATGCCAAAGAAAGATGGCCCTGGGTGTAACTGACCTAATCAAATATTCCCTTTAAATGCAGAAAATATTTCCCAGCTGGTCACCGAGAAAGCAGTCAGAGAAACATGCCCTTGCTGGTCAGAAATAAAAGCAAACAGCCATATTGTGAACTGCATATAGAGATCATGTGGCAATCAAGTGTGTTCATCTTCTGAAAGCTGAGGGTCATTCTTGAGCAATATTTGGCAAGTAAACAGGGAGACGAGTCATACAACTACAAGAAAATGAGATCTGCCAACAGCCAATGATCTTAGCAAAGACCCTTGAACCTCAAATGAAACTCACCCCATGCCAGCTGTCACCTTGATTTCACTGTGATGAGACTCTGAGCAAAGGACCCAGCTAATCAGTACTGGACTTCTGGCCCAGAGAAACTTTCAGATAAAAGATGGAAATTGTTAAAAAAAAAAACACTAAATTTGAGGTAATATGTTATAAAACAGTAGATATTACATTCTGGTTGGCCTGAATTCTGACGTCTGGTTCTTCAAGCAAATGAACTATCAAAATTTTAAGTATTTCCTAAAATGCAGATAGTGACTGTTCTAACTAAATGCTATTAAAAAAAAAAAGGAGAGAATCATTCCATGTCCTTCTTTCCTTCTAAATAATGCCCCTCCCAAATCTGCCTGATTTTATTCATTCTGCAGTGCCTTCAGGTAGCTGTCTTCCACATTTGTTATCTATGAAAGCCTTGCTCTAATATAAGCTACTTGACCATTCAGATTCTGGATACATTTTGAAGATAGAATTAAGTGATTTGCTTGTGTGTGTTAGTCAGTTTTGTTTTTTTTGTTTTTTGTTTTTTTTTGTCACTGTAACCAAAATACCTAATATGAACAACTGAGAAGAGAAAGATTTATTTTGGCTCAAAGTTTCATAGTATGTAGTTCATGGTCATCTGACTCCAAGGCAAAAACTTCATGGCAGAAGGGCTTGGCAAAGGCAGTTGCTTGACTCATGACCACTGGGGATCAAAGAAAAAAAAGAGAGGCTAGGGAGAAGATAAACCCTTTCCAGGGCATGTCCCTATTGACCTTTTTCCTCCAGCTAGGACCCACCTTCAGTGGTCCATTCAGAGATCTATGGGTAGATCCATCAAATAGATTAATCCTCTGATGAGGGTAGAGCTTTCATGAGCCAATTATTGCCTGAAAGTCTACTTCTGAATCCTGTTGCATTGGGGACCATGTTTTTAATTCATGATTTTTGTGGGGGATATTTCAGATCAAAATATGTTGAATAAAAGCATGACAGAGAAAAAAGTCAAAGATTATTCTCTGGTTTTTGGCCTCTGAAAGTAGAGGATGAAATTACTGTTTGTGGACATAAGAAAGGATTATAAATACATTCTATTGTATGTGTGAGTTTAGAGTTCAGGAGAGAGTAGTGGTCTCGGGATAGAAATCTGGGAGTTGCTTTTTGAAGGCATGAAGTGGAATTACCACCTCAACAAATTACCTCTAAGTATAGGAGTGAAGAGATTCCAACCCTGAGTCCTGGGATGATTCAAAATTTAAAGATAAGGAGGAAAGATGGAACCAAAAGAGAAGACTATATGGAAGACAGGAGAGAAACAATGAGAAAATGACCTCAAATTCAATTGGAAAAAAAAAAAACTGTTTTGGGGACAAAGGAATGACTTTTTATTTAATGCTATGCCAAATGAGCATTGAAACTTAGTATTAAATTTAGCAATGGAGAGAAAGGTCTTTGTACCCTTGACAAGAGCAATTTCAGCACTGTTACAGGAGAAATTTTGATTAGGGAAGAGGCAAAATGGGAGGAGTCAAATTAGAATCAGCAAGTTTAATAGCTCTTTAGAGCACTTTCGGAATAAAGATGAACAGCAAAGTTGAGCAGTATCTTGAAGAAGAGCCCACAGGAGTTTTATTTTGTTGTTTGTTTTTAAAATGGAAGAATATATATTCCGTCTGTGTGCTGGAAGGGATAAATCATGTAAAAATGTAAAAATGTAAAAAATGTAAAAATGTAAAAGACCATGTAAAAATGCAAAAAAATAAATAAATAAATAAAAGGGAAAATTACTGCTGGAGCACACAAGTGAAGGAACTGGCCTCAGATGGAAGCAAAATTCATCAACAGAAGTTAAGGCAGATTATGTATGTGTAGGCATAGGTGGATAGGTAGACATCCTAGTGGGAGCTGGAGGTTTGAGAGAGATGAGAAGGTACAAAATAGTCATCCAGAGCATGAGAGAGTCATCCAGAGGGTTAGTGGGCTAGGCATAGGTCTTAAGCAATGGGCAGTACACAAGGTCTTGGGGTGAGAGTGTCAGTATTTTCAAGCAAGACTGGTAAGATGGATTTAATCAAGCTTGAACTTTTTCCAGCAGTGTACAAAATGCAAAATAGGGCCAGGAAGTTGAGGTTTGTGGAAGGGAGTGATAATGGGAAGTTATTGCAATGAAATGTGAAGTAGGTAAGGAGGGAGTAAGAACTTGAGAGGACAGTAAAAAATTGATGAGATGAGCAAAAAATTATAATAAAGAAAATGATGGATTAAATAGATAGTATAATATCTGCTTTGGGGCATATTTGAAATTGTTCACTATAAAATGTTTTTGCTCTTTTGTTTGCTTTTTAAGTGGTAAAGGGCTTGGAAATACCAGTGTGGCCCACGATCCTTGGCTGAAGAACAAAGAGGGATCTACAGGGCTTGGTAGTGACAGGGACTAGGGTATGACCTCAGAGCTGAGTGACCACATGAAGGGGGAAGACAAGCCCCTGGGAGAAGAGAAGGTAAAGGAACCTGGAGGTCCAGCTGTTGCAGGGTTATCTTCATGGATAATAAAAGGACAATAGCCTTAGAGAGCATAACAGGAAACCAGTGGTTGAAATCTTCAGAGATGGAGGGAGAGGAAGTCAGTGAAATAGGCTAACAATCTGATATGTTTAGAGGAGAAACAGTTTGGAAACAGCAGGGACAGCAAGGAAGACACAGCCTTTTGCTCACCCATTGCCATCCCCACCTACCCAGAGGTACTGGAGTGTGCTGGAGAAAACAGCTTCTACTTAAGAGGGCTCTGGGGGAAGTAGTGTCCTCAGGGGAGGGCTAGATATTAAGGGAGAAATTGTTCTACTAAGAATCTAAATTAGTTGGTTACTGCGCCTGAATGTTAAATTGGGCTCTCTACCTCCTGGCAGTGAAAATTTCATAAAGAGAGAAATGATAGGATATATAATCCTTGGGATCTGACAAAAGGAGGCATATAATTCCCAGAATTTTTTCCTATAGATCCATAATCATTTTTATATCCCTTGTTACTAGAAGAAAGCTTGAAATATAATCAGAATACAATAAACCGAACATTTGACACTGAGGTTTATAATGGACAATATCTTTAATGGCAGTTTTTAAAGATAAAAAAACGTGACTTAAGCCCCAAAATAGGAAATAGTAGTGAAGTTTCTACCTTAATCTTAGTTTTGAATCTGAGATGTCTTTTCAGTAGTGAAGCTAATTACAAAATTAGCTTTAGCAGTTTCTTTCCTATGACACATGTGCAATATATTATGAGGCATGGAGATAGTTAATAATTTTTAGATCCACTTTTATTCTTTCATTCTGAAGAAGAAAACCTGCCATTTAAAAACATGCAAAGCTAATTAAAGCTTTTCCACTATTTCATTATCTGAATGTAGTTGCAAATTCTGACTTAAAACTCTTATCAGAAGACTCAACATCCTTCCATGAACAGCAAATGAACATTCAATTAACACTTCAATACAAGTGTATTTTAAATAAAAATATACTTTATTGTTAATCTCATTCTTTACAAATGCAAATACCCAATTTTAAAATCCAAAGAGAGTCTCCCCGCTTTATTCTTCAGAGGAAAAAGTCTTTTCTCTATTTACAGGGAAGACCTGAGTTTTCTGAAGTTGTTACGAAGTTAGAGGAGTGTCTCTGCAACATTGAGGTAAGAACTTTGCCTTCTGAAATAAGTCTGTATAAAAGCCCTGATACCCAAGGCTTTCAGGGAATGTGGGTGAGAGGGCGCTTATGGAAAGTTACTCTGAGGCCCATAACTCCATTTATACTTAACCTATTCATTAAATCCCTAGGGTAGAACCAAATTGGCTGTATCTACAGGGACAGAGACAAGTTCAGAGTGAATTTGGGTGGTTCCAAAAAAAAAAAAA